TGGTTATCTTCCCAAATATTTCAAATAACACATTTAGCTTTAAGAAATAAAAGCTTTTTTCTTCAAATAAGGCATTTACAACAACAGTGAAAAGCAAAAGAATGGGGAAGAAAAAGGATAAGTTATACATTCCATATTCTAACAAAGAAGGCAAAGAATAATTGGTTTCTTTGTGTTTACAACATCAATATCCATGTGCTTCTTATAATAGAAACCAAAACAGAATCATTCTCCATCTAGTCCACAGAGGTTAAAAATTAAACTAATCACTATGTTGTACGTGGAGCACAAAAGACAGTAAAAGGAGACATCTGCAGGATTAGGAGCATCTCTGTCACAACTCAGTAAGGACAGTTCCAGAAGCAGCCCACCAGCTCCACAGAAGGATCAGCTCAAGACCTGCAGACGCACTGGGTTCAATAAATTTCTAAGCAGGTTGTCCAAAAGTGCAAATACAAAGAAAGACGTCTCCCATTCTAATACCTTCACGACTTGGCAGCCCAGCTCTGAACAGAAAGAACCATTCTGGGTTGGCCACCCCACAATATAAAGTCACCCTTCTGATCCTCTCTGACAGGCCTCTGTAACAGAACTGTTGGGTGAGAAATACTAATACATGTGTGTTTGCCACTTGTAATATCAGTGGCATCTCTAGAACACACAGCTCCATGTCTGTATTCAATAAATCTCAGCTGAATTAAATCACACTGAAATCTCCCTGAGCCTTAGTTTCTTCATTTAGAAATTGACGGCAACAAATTTTCTGTCAATCTTTTTTATTTTAAAACATAAGAGTCACAGGCTCTAGCTACCCAATGAAGATACAAAAAACAGGAAACTCAAAAGGCAACAGAAGGGGTGCCTTAGCCAGCTATTGGACATCACATTACTATGAATGGAGTTACAAGGCAAGCAAAAATACATTAGGGCTGAAAACATCTCTGCTAAGGCTTCTGAGGAACTAACACCGGGCACAAAGATTCTATGAAAGATTCTATTGTGAATAATTTACTGGATCAGAGGCAAGATCCCTGGATGTCCTTAAAGAGCACAGTCCTCTAAGCAAAACAATTGTATTTTTCATAAGCTGTGCCTGCTTGCAAAAGCCCTAACTAGAGGTCACTAGGGGGAAGAAGACTTCCCTACCAGCAGAAAAGGAGATTCTACTCTCTCCTGTATCCCCTATCCACTTAAATAAAATTCTGCCCTAATTGTAAGTAGCTTCTGGAGATGCTAGAACATATAGGCTGGGAAAGCTAAGGAACTCCATCTATAAGGCTATGTGGGCTCCATTATCCACACTAGGTGAAGAATTTCTTGGCTATTGCTTTGGAGTCTCCCCCCTCTTACTAGTACTCTCTCACCCAAAGTAAGCCTCAAGATTCACCGGTTCCCCAGAGTGAACTGGGGTAGAATCATGGGAGTTTGTAGGAAGGGGATAGTTGTCTCCCCCAGAGAGGACTTCTCACAACATTCCTAGGATGGAAACTTCCCAGGAAACAAATTTCCATCAATCAAAGAAAAGGCCCTGAAGATTAGGGATATTCACAGTTGACGGAGGAATGAATAAGAAACAGAGACGAAAGTACACAGGCGTTTCATAAGTGAGCCCAGAAGGAGCTGAAAGGGTCTAATTGATGGCCTATGGGCTGAAGATCTTCAGGAAGTCTAAACCGTTCCTGCCAAACTACGAAAATTCCAAAATCAGTGGCAGTAGAGTGCAGGAGACCAAGTACAGACCTGAGAATCCACAGGAGAACAAATTTAAGTTTTACTCTGGGTTCTGCCAGTACAACACTGGACAGCCTCTCCTTTCGCATCCCTAGCAAAACCTGCTTTGCAAGGCTGCTGCAAATACCCATGAGAAGGCATGATGCAGCAACACAGACACTAAACAAATAAATCATCCACTCCTTTTCTCTGTTAGTGAAATTACACAAATTCCCCCCAACCCTGGATCTTTTTTTTTAGTCTTGGAAATATAAAGCCAAATTTATCTGTAGGCTCCAATTTGCATAGAAGACAAACCAACCACCTAAACAACACCCTGGGAATTAGTGACTAACATACATTGAACTATATCCCCCAAACATCCACTCCCCAGAACTGTAAGAAAGGTTTTAGAAAGATACTGAACTTTATCCTTTGCAGAATTAATAAGCTAGGAAAATACATTTTCACTATCCAACTAGAAACAGGATTGAGTTACAAGAATACAGAAGCTTCCAGAACATAAAAAAAAGAAGTATGTGGGGGGGGGGGTCCCCTAGAGGTAATGCTTTCAGGTTTGAGCCTTTGTTAGCACAGGAAAGACACTGGGATGGAGAGGCATTCTCACACTCAAAGAATGAATCCTTCATGCTCTCTGAACTGTTTGCTCTACTAGAGAATACACAGTAACTTCCTGGGGGCCCCAGGGTCCTCTACACAGCAATTGGGTACTCTCCAGGCTTCTTAGGGTGCAACCTGCTCCTGACTCTCTGAGTTATCCACGAGCCTAAGAATCACTACAGCGTGTTCCTGTGAGGAATCACTCCAAATCAGCAGCAAAACAATCACTGAACACAAGGAACGTCCCTCTGTTATGCTCCTAAAGAGATGAGTAAAGTGTCTTAATTCTCTATTCACTACTGTCTATCCACTCTTAGAACTGCTCCTTTAAAATCCTTGGCAGCATCTCTGTGATTTGCATCACTTTCTCTTGAGTGACAGTTCTTCTAGACACTGTATAACCTGTTCTATGGAAACTCTTAATTATATTATTTTCCTCTACAGAGTGCTATTTCTTTTTGTTTTAGTGAACACTTATTTTACTGACTTAAACCTAAACTCGGCAGACTGACAACTCAGATTTCAGTAACTATTTTGTCCATAGCTTGCCTGCTTGGAGCCTACCAGACCAGAGGATTGAACTCAGGCCATCAGGTTTGGTGGCAAGTGCCTTTACCCACTGAGACATTTTGCTAGCTTTGTTCTCTCTCCCAACCCCCACCACCAAGCTAGAAAATATGCAGATTTTCTGTAAATCACATTTTGTCTCATTCCCTTCTTCTAGTACCAATTGCACTCCAGAATCTATGAATCTGTGTCCATTTGGATGTCTTCACAAGACTGTCTTCATCCAGTTTATAACTGTGTAAGGCCGACAGGAGCAACCTACCCTATTAACAGAAGGAAAACCTACACAAGTTTTTTCTAACTTCACTTTTTCTCACAGTGCTGTCATCCATAATTAAGACAAGGCTTTGCATGGATCACTGTCACATAAAGAACCAAGGCTACATATACTTCCAAGGTGGCTTTTGCAAACTTTTCTGGTACCATGGTGCTTCTTGACTAGCTCCACTCTCTGCATCTCAGTTTCCAAGGCTTCTCTATATGGCTTCTCCAAGTCACAGGAAGGTGGTCTCATGGAATCAGCACTTCCTCATAACTAGCTCCTAAAAAGGGTGCAAATTAAAGACTATGCCACAAATGATACAAGCTTATGCCTATCATATGTTACTGTTCAAAGCAGTCACGTGGACTGGAAAGATTCAACAGGATGGAGAAATAGATGCCTCTATAGGATTATAGTAAAATGACACTTAGAAATATGCATACAATAACAAGAACTTTTAAATATGTCTTAAAAAATATAACCTACAGAAGACTTAATATTTAAATAAGCAAAACAAACACTGCCCAAAGTAAATTCCCATAAGACAAAGAACCTCTAGTTCCAGCTGGGCATGGTGGTACATCTTTAATCTCAGTGCTCAGGAGGCGGAGAAAAGCAGATCTCTGTGAGTTCAATGCCAGCTTGGTTTAAATAGCAAGTTCCAGGACAGCTAAGGCTACTAAACAAAGACTATCTGGGGAATGGAGGAAGGTGGTTATTAATTCATTGTGAAGAATGAGACCTAAGCATCGTGCCACTCTTTCATCAATATTAATGTTATGTTTTCAGTATCATCGGCTCTGCAATGTTCAGTACAAAAGACAGAACACAAGAGGTTCTAAAGGCAGTCTCTCATATTTCCAGAAGCTAAATACATATCCATTCAGAACACTTAGTTTTAAAGACTCAGGACAGGACACTATTCACCCATAATTGTAGGATGCACAAAATTGAAGGATTTTTTCTAACAATAATGCCAGCTTTTTGGTTTTATTCTTTTTAAGACAGTCTTGCTATATAGCCTAGGTTGGCCTTGAAGTAATAATTCCAACTGTTTGGTCTTCCAAACAGTGGCAGGGATAACAGGTGTGTCTCACCACACCTGGCTCCATGTTCTGAAATGTCTATTACTAGAAAAATTTCCAAACATTAAAGTCATTTGTCTGTTGCTTTTCTTCGTTGTTTTGGAGACCACATCTTAATATGTAACTCTGGCAGCCAGGAAATTGCTATGTAGAATAGGACAGCCTGGAATTCATAGAGATCCACCTGCCTCCAAGCCTGGCTGGTTTTGTTTTTATTTTATTGACTGTTCCCTATATCATAATAGAGTGCTTAAATAAACAGACCTCAGACAAACACTGCTAATTTACAAGAAAGGAGAATGTCTCAAATACATTCAGGACAAAGACAATGCAAAATCTATAAAAATACAGACCATAAAGCAAAAACGTGACATACAGGATCCAGCCAGATGGATCAGTAGACAAAAAAGATCACTTGTTGCAGAGCCTCTAACCTACGCTTGATTTCTGGAGTAGATGGTGAAGGGAGAGAGCTGACTTCATGTGCGTGCACCTACACTGTTTCACACATACACATCTAACACACACCACTAAAATAAAAAGCAAAAAATTTCAAGTATGATATATTGTGCTTATTTGTAGGTAAAAGAAGTAACATACTATTTTATGTTACACATTAACCATAGATATTCTTTTCAATTAATTTTCTAAGAACTCACATAAGATCTCACTCCCCTGCCGAGTGAAGGCATTCTAAGTTCTAAACAGTATAGTCTAAACAAAGTTATATGTGACACATTAAGAAATAATCTTACTTTGTCCTGGTTTTCTTTATTCTTGTAACACAGATTTCCAATGAGACGAATGAGATGAGATTTAAACCCTTCAGTCATGTGTTCGATGTCACCCTCTGCTTTTAGAGAGTCAGAGGGACTGAAGATGTTCGTGGTATCTTTTCCAACTACGTGAATCACCCGTAAAACATCTAGAGCAAACAATAGAGTTCATTTTCCATAAGAAAATACATAGTATCTAAGTTTTCCATAAACAAACACAGCGGACTAAAATGAAGTGATAAAGCACCTAATACTCCCAAAATAATGACTGGCGTGTGGGGTCCAGCACAGCAGCTGATCACCTCCTAGAGTGCATGAGGCTTCAGTTCATCCTCAGAGCCACCAGAAATACAACAGCGTAACAATAACCAGACAGCTTCTTTGCTTTTGCATTAATTTTTCTAGGTTCCAGTTTGAAGGAGGCTGATTGTAACAATTAGCTTCACTTGGAATTTCTATTTATCCACAAAGGAAAGTTGACTAAAATGTTGCAAGCTTTTTCTTATAAAATGATTTTCAATTCCAATTTGTTTATACAAAATCAAATGTGATAGCTAGTCAGGTTAAATGTAAATCATAAGAGGTTTTAATAATTACTTACAGCTTTCTCAATGGCCAATAATCAGCCTCAGCCATGGACTGACATTAACTATAATCACAGGAAATAATACTGCTATATTCTATGAACACTCCCAAGAAGCCTATGAAAACAGGCTTCCAGGAGTTATCCATTTTCCCATATTATTTCATTTAACCTTCTGAACAAACTTATTAAATATAGCCATCACTTTCACAATCTTACAAGAAGCAGTCAGACTCAGAGAAGTAGTAACATGGCAGAGATAGGATGGCAATCCACACTGGCCCTAGCTTCATGATTCCCAGTTTGGTTATTTATTCTGATCATCATTAAAAGTACTACATTCAAACTAGAACTCTGGAATGGAATTACATGTCTTCTACAGACTACTGCTAGTTCAGTTACACTTTTAGATACAAAGACATCTTTCTTCTATATTGCAATCTAAACAAAGTACCTGTTTTTTTTTTTTTCTTTTAGGTAAAATACTGAACAGTGACAAGCAAAACATAGATTTGGGTATCTACATGAATGGAGGTTCTATAGGGCTTAATTTGCAAACAGCTTTTGAGTAAAGACAGTAATGCTTCAAATACTGGTTTCCTAATTATTAATTGTTAATCTTGTTACAAGATTAAATCTCTAACCTGAATAAAACCCTATTCTTTGTTTTTGGAAGTATAATTGAGGAAAACAAATTACCAGATTTTATAAATAAAATTTATGGTATAATAAAACTTACCATTTGCAAATCCCCACCATCAGTTTCATCAAAAACATTCCCATAAGGTGACAATGCAGCTATCTGCAGAGGGGCCTGATTAGTCAACATACTACTAAGAAGGACCCACGCTCCATAGCAGAGAAGGAACAGCAATGCAGCCTCAGTTTAAGCAACCTGAGCTGTTAGCATTATATCACAATTCTAATCAAGGAAAAATTTCAAAGAATCTCAATTGAAAGCACCAAGAATAAGGGCTTGTGTTTGAATTTATAGCACAGAAAATGTCAAGAATTTCTTAACTAAAAACACTAAGTCTGCTGTTTCACTCACCAATCACTCGTTCCATCAGATCAGGAAAAACTTGTAGGTAACCAAGAAGCTCAGTGTGGGATGTCATTTCACATAAGACGTCCAGAAGCCGAATGGTAGCCAGTGCTTCCTAAAAAGATAAGGAAACCTCCTTGCTAGGAATCAGAGTTTTAACTTTGATTGTTATAGATAACGAGAGGATAAAATGCTGTAACAAGTACCATGTGACACATCTACAGAGAAACACAAGTGTCCAGATATTCTGAATAATCACTAACAGATGCATCAAGAGGGCAAGACTCCATGTCATTATATGTCTTCTTGGAGAAAAGAGTAGAAAAGCTCTTACTGAAGCAAAAATACCTTCCAACAGTGGGATAAATGTTCCAAAGTACAACCAACACATAACGCTTATGCAAATACTTTCTTTTAAAAGCACTCTCAGTATGAAAGTTACACTTTAAAGATACAAACATTCCATTAAACACATTAACTTCTTGTCTACAAAAGTCCTATAATGTTCCAAGGTCTAAAAAACACTAGTTTTAAGAACTTACACTAGTCCTGGGTAAATATAAGCCTGTATGCAATGTATTGGTAAGGTGGAAAAGATAATATTATTTGAAAATGCTAGCTCACAGTTACTTCATATAAATAGTTTATATGAAACAGAGGCACAACCAGGAAATTCCCATGTGCTGATTCTATGGCATCCCAATATTCCAATGTATTTTTCAGCGTTATAATTTTTATATATTTTAAACCACACTTTTTCAAGTACATATTATTTGACAAAACATAGTAGCACCTATAAATTTAGGTCATGAAGATAAAATTCTTCAAAACAAAAATTCTTTTTAATAATACTACTCTTTGTAGACATTAGAAAAATTTAAGGTAAGTCTTGTTTTCTACAAATCTCAAAATAATATTGAGAAATAACAAACTTTAATGCCTTGGGTCTTTATTTCAAAGCTTACACATGCTAATAAAAAGCTAAGAGGGATATAAAAAGATTAGAGTCTAAGTCTGAAGTCAGTATCAGGGGTAAATCCATTAACTCCGCAATGCTTAAGCACTCTCTTCTGCTAAGTGGTGACAGCCCAGACTATCTATCGCCTCTAGGTGACAAGTCTCCTGGAGAAACAGCGGGCTGACTCAACATAGTAAAGGCTGCTTTTATTTTGTTTGTTTTCTGTATACATACAATTTATTAAAACCCTTCACAAATGATGCTATATTGAACATTCTTGTACAAATATCTGCAGTTCTGAACAAGTGAATGGGGGTTTATACATTCTTAAAAATCCAAATGCTGGGTCAACAGTATATACATTAAAAATGGTTTAGCAGTATTTTGAATGGCACGCCAATCTATTAGAAGGCTGCTACAACACTTTGCAAATTTTTTAAAAGATGTATTTTATTTTTAATTTTATGTGTGTGTTTGTGCACATGAGAATAGGTTCCCAGGGAGGCCAGAAGAGGTCTCCTTCTCACTGACTAGTGCAGCTGTTAGGGATCATAAGTACTAGTACTTTGCCTGTTTCTGTCTCCTCAATGTGAGAATTACAAGAGCACACTTGGCTTTTTCACGTGTGTTCTGGAGATCAAATTCAGGTCCCACGCTTATGTGTAAGCACTTCACTGCCTGAGCTATCACCCCTGCCCCATCTCACTCTTAGTTTTAAGACAATAAATTTTTAACCTTTAATTATGTATCATATGTGTGTGGTGTGGGTGTGTATAGGTGACCACAAAAGCTTAGAAGCATTGAGTTAGAAGCAGCTGTGAGCTACCCAGTGCGTGTGTGCTGGGAATTCAAAAGGTCCTCTAAAAAGTAGTACAGGCTGTAACCACTGAGCAATCTTTCATGTCATTAAGAGAGCAATTTTTAAGTGATACACCAAAGCAATGTTGGCATTAGTATTTATTTCAGTTTTTTAAGACAGTGTTTCTCTGTGTAGCCCTGGCTGTCCCAGAACTTACTCTGTAGACCAGGCTGGCCTCAAACTCACAAATATCTACCTGCCTCTGCCTCCCAAGTGCTTGGATTAAAGATGTGTGCTGTCACCACCGTCCAACTAATGCTAATTTTTTTTAATAAAAGAAATTTAATGAGTATGGGGAATATGTTAGGTGGGGTTAAGCCGACCTCCTTTTGGTCAATAACACAGATTCTAGGAGAAAAGAAAAAAACTATGTCTAATAGTGAAACCTTGTTCAACCTTTGAAAAACATATAGCAGGGCCAGTGAGGGGGCTAGGCAGATAAAGGTGCTTGCACCTAAACCTCAAACTCTGAAATTAACATGTTGGAAGTAGGGAAGTTGTAACTGTTTTTTGTTTTTGTTTTTTACTCTTTGGGGGCCCACCACCACCCAGTTCCCAAATAAATACACAGAAACATATTCTTACTTATGAATATCCAGCCTTAGCTTGGCTTGCTTCTAGCCATCTCTTTAACTATGTTTTACCTATGGGCTTTTTATCTTTATTCTATATATCTTTCTTACCTTCTTACTCAGTGGCTGGCTGTGTGTGTGTATGGCCCCTGGCATCCTCTTCTCTCTAATCCTTTTCTCGTTCTTTGCTCTTCTCAAGCCTAGATTTCACCTCCTATTTATTCTCTCTGCCTGGCAGCCTGACCTATTTCTCTATCTTGCCTAGTTATTGGTCGTTCAGCTCTTTATTAGACCAATCAGGTGTTTTAGACAGGTAAAGTAATACAGCTTTACAGAGTTAAACAAATGCAGCATAAAAGAACTCAACATTAAATAAATGTTCCACAACAGCCGAGCAGTAGTGATGCACGCCTTTAATCCCAGCACTTGGAAGGCAGAGGCAGGCGGATCTCTGGGAGTTCGAGGCCAGCTTGGGCTACAAGAGCTAGTTCCAAGACAGGCTCCAAATTCTACAGAGAAACCCTGTCTCGAAAAACCAAAAATAAATAAATAAATAAATAAATAAATAAATAAATAAATAAATGTATGTTGCACAGCATAAATGAACATAACACATCTTAAACTAATATTCCATCATCAATTCCCCAAAGTTGTTCTGCGAACTCCACACTTACGCAGACACACACACCATACCTTACAACACCAAATAAATAAATTAATAGGTAAGTGATCAGCCTGGCATAGGTGGTACACGCCTTTAATCCCAGCACTCGGGAGGCAGAGGCAGGCAGATCTCTGTGAATTCGAGGCCAGCTTGGTCTACACAGTGAGATCCAGGACAGTCAGAGCTACACAGAGAGAAACCTTGCTTCAAAAAAACCACCAAAAAAAAATTTTTTGCAAAATTTTTTTAAAGCCTCAATTTCTTAAAAAAAAAAAAAGCACAGAGTACATACAACATGTGAAAAGGAGATGCTACTTAAGGTGTGAATGCACAAGGAAAGCCTTAGCACAACAACAACAACACACACACACACACACATGGCTCTGTAGAGAAGAAGTAGGGGACAGGCAAACCAGAAACTTAACTCTGTTTCATGGACATCAGCTAAAGAATTATTTATAGAAAAGTGAAGCATGAGCAAAGTGCAAAAATATGATCTTTACCAGTTTGTGCAATCAAAGATACCATTCTTACTCATATTAACTGCTAGTGCAAAAAGTTGCTTAATTTGGGGTTATAAGGAGTAAATGAATAAAAACCCCTCCAACTAATGGTAAATCTCAAGTGTACAGGAATCAGGAAATATAAATCTGTCAAAGGAAAGGTGATGCTCGGGACATGTAACTGAGATTCAGTAAACTCAACTTTAAACTATGCCAACATGGGCTAAACGGGTACTGAAACCTGGAAATCAGTACATAGAGTACATCAAAAGATGAGCATAGCCACCTTAACATGCAACTACTTCTGTAAAGAGGCATAAGAAGAAAGCTTCAGTATTTTCAAACTCCACAGGCCAAAGAACTTCTATGAGCACAGCTATTTTCAATCACAGTCTTTTGAAAACTTTATTAATTTTATTAAATATCTTGTTCTTGTAGTAAATCAGTGCTGGCTTGCTGGTCAGTGGCTGGAGGAGATGAATGCAGAGCCCTGATATGCAGCACTCACTAACTTCTATGATGACCCTGACAACCAAGCAACAGCCAGCCCATAAAGTTATGAACAGCAGACTGTTGTTAGAAGTAAGCATCAACCAGTTCCAGAATAAAACTTGAGAAAATGGTATGTTGGAATACTGGCTCAAGGGTCTTTTTCACTGTACCTTTTTATCTCCATTTCTATCTCAAAGTATGTATCAAAGTATGATACATGAAAATTAGCATATTTCTTCCTCCCTTACAGAAACTAGTTGAAGAAAAATACAAGCTACCAGTTCAATAAAGGACCCTGTTAAGACAGTAAGGTGGAGGCAATAAAGGAAGACACCTGACATCCTGCTCTGGCTTCTTCATGCACATCCATGGATGTATATACATGCACACTCCCATGCATGCAACAGAGGAAGGGAGGGGAGTGCAGGTATATCTCACTACAATGCTAAAATTTTTAAACACACAGTTCTTGTGAACAATTTAAAGTCAGTTGTGCTTTAATAAATATTCAATTTTTTACTGTTTCCTTAAAAATTACCTTTTAATATATTTATTATATATTACACATATAATCATGCATTATGCATAAATATTATATATGTGTACATGAGTATATACTAATATGTGATTATATATTATATAAAAGCAACTTATATGTTATACTAAATAACATATATAACATAGTATGATTGATAAATATATATGTTGCTTTTCTCAAGGCTGGGACAAAATACCTAGTAAAAGTTACTAAAGGAGGGGTTTGACTCACACTTGGAGGGTTTGCTCCATCGTGGCCAGCAAAGAGTGCTGACGAAAGCAGCTGTGGCAGCAAGAACATGAGTGGAGCAGCTGGTCCTCAGTCAGGAAGCAGAGAGAGATTAAGGCTAGTGCTCATGTGTCAATCTCTGTGTTCAGTCTGGAACCCCAGCTCATGGATTGATGCCATTACTTTTTAAAGCACACCTCAGTGCTCCCCCTGCTGGGAACAGAAGCACCCATCTCCAGAAAGGTAAATCAATTCTGAGACTTCCTCCTGTCTTTCACAGGAAGAGAACTGCTGTCAACATGAAGGCAACAGCCAAGTGGCCTTAAATCCAAGTACAAGGAGGGCAGTGCACTCTCACGGCCAAACCATCACAAACATGACTTCAGTCATACTGGAAATCAGGAATCTCCCATGATCACCCACTCTCCAGGATCTATTTTCTGCTTCTCTGCACACCATTTCATGCTGTGTGAATGTCTCCCACCTTGTCTCAAGCTAAGGTCAACTGCATTCTAGCATCAACCACTTCTTTCTTGATCACTCTTACCAGGACACAAGTGATCTATTATTTTTTCTAAAACTGTATTTAAAATCCACTTCATTGAGATAGGGTTTATACACAACATACACCTTTAAGCATACAAAACAGAGTTTGTCAAAGTACACAGCTATGAATAACATTCACAAAGTTCCCTGTGTCCCTGTGGAACTACTCTCACCCCTGATGTAAACCCCAGCTAACATGACCTGTTCTCTGTCATTATCCAGCAGTCTAGCCCACAACTAAGTCTCACAAAAATAGCATCCTAGTCTAGCTTAATCCACCTGCTCTCATGCTACTTTGGGGGCATCTTTCATGCTGTTCCAGAAGTGCTTTTATTTTGCTACGGAGCAGTTTCCAAGAGAAAACAATTCTGACTTTAACTCAGAGAAAAGGGTAAAGAAATAGGAACAAGCAGAGGTTCTCCAGTGAAAAGGCAGGGCTAGAATTATTGCCAACTAGCTTCAGTAGCCATCAGTAGAGAAAGGGTTAGCAAAGGAGGATGTGAGATGGTTAACCAGGATGGGTGGGGTGGGGGAGCCCCTACCCTGGGTAAGGGGAATAACTTTTCAAACAACAGCTCAGAAACCTTTATTAAAAAGTTGTTGTTGATGTTTTAGGATTTTATTTTAAAAGATCTATTTTTGTTTTATATGTATGAGTATTTTATCAGTCTATTATATATACCACGAGCATGCCTGGTGCCCTCAAAGGCCAAAAGAGGGTATTAAATCTCCTAGAACTGGAGTTACAGATGGTTGTGAACTGCTAAGTGGGTGTTGGGAACCCAACTCAGGTCCTTTGCAAGAGCAGCAAGAGAGTGTGGACACACAGAGTTGAACTACAGCACTGTTTACAGTGAGAAGAAGCAGAGACGATCTACATGTCTAGTTACAGGATGACCCTGTCTAATTATGAGTATATGTTAAATGACCACTGTGGAATGGACAAATAAATGGCATAAAATCCATCTATGTGTCTTTAACACATGTCTGTGTGTTATGATCTACTTAACTAAAAGTACCAACTAGAATTATTTTTCAAGCCACTAACTTGTACTGGAAAAAGCAAGAGCATTGTTTCCCCCTTATCTATGTTTCTAAGTTCTCTATTAAAACCACCTATCACTCAAGGAGTACACTTCAACTTTTCAAGAGGGGTTGGAGAGGTGGGTCATCAATGAAAAGTTCTCCCAGAGGACCCAAGTTCAGTTCCCAACACTCACATAAGACAGTCCACACTCATCTGGAATTCTAGCTCTGGGGGATCTAATACCTTCTTTTGGCCTCCACAGGTACCTACACATATGTGTCACACATTTACACAACACACACAGATAAATTAAAAACAACTCTTTAAAACCATTTAAGAAGAAAAACTTCATAGAGGACTTGACTGAACTAAAAACCTGTCTGTTCTCCCCTTCCAGGGCTATGAAATCTGTCTCCTTACCTTATCCTCTGTTTGAGGCTCCGAGACCAACTTTAGCACATTCCTACACTGATCCACAAATGAGTTTGCAATCAACTCGGCATGGCGCAAAAATATAGAGATGTCATCCTTTGTCAGCTGCTCATCACCCACTAGCTTGGCAATCATAATGTCTAACAGTGCAACCCTGTAAAATAAAAGAGTTCTGCATCAGTACGTAACACTTAGGCTATATGAGACCAAGAATGACTTCCAGAGGACATTTTAAGAGTTACTTTCATTTTAAAAAATTTTTAACTTTATTTTGATATCTAGCTAGAAAAAAACTTTTATTAATAAAGCTAATTATCAATTGCCTGTTTTTGAAAAAATATTTAGTTTCTTCTATGTGACTTACTAGCAGCAAAAACTATCCAATACACTTTTTATATCCATTACTTTAAAGATTGAAATAATTCAACATTTCAGAAAAGTTGTGAATTTAAGGTTTATGAATACATTCACAAAATAATAGTAGCAAAGTGAAGTAGCTAACACCAATCTATGCATTATACACATTATCACATTTAATCTTTATAATAATAATTTTACATTAAAGATGTGAGTATAAAATATCAAATATCTGTAATTCAGCAAGCCCATTCTCCCATATACATACATATACATCATACATACACATGCATGTGTGCACATATGTATAAATGATTTTGTCTAAGTCACTATCTGACATAACCATTTCTTTTTTGTTTGTTTTGGCGTTTTTTTTTTTTTTTGTTTTGTTTTGACAAGGTTTCTCTGTAGCTTGGGAGCCTGTCCTGGAACTAGCTCTTGTAGACCAGGCTGGCCTCGAACTCACAGAGATTTACCTGCCCCTGCCTTCCGAGTGCTGGGATTAAAGGCAGTTTAATCACCTGACTGACATGACCATTTTTAATTCATTTCTGACCAAACAGGTACATACTCTCTCTTAAAATTATGATATCTGTTGTTGTTTTAAATAATGAACATGCAAAAGACTTAGTGAAATTTTCTATAGCAAAAAAAAAAAAACCTATTTAGTTATATTTAAAGTGACAAGGACAGACTATGGTTGTTAAAGTCACATATATGCAACCCTGAAAAGTTTTTAATGAGGACCAAGAATAAAGGTAAGAGGGGGAAAGAGTGTTTTATGAGCATTCTAGAGCAAGAAATAAAATATATGAAATTTAAATTCAAAGACTGGCATCTCTACCAAGTTTTCAATTTAGATTTGAACTTCTCCAAAAGTGTGATCTGTTGAATACTATATGCTACAAAGGCTGAAAATGGTATTACCCAGAACAACATGCTAACCAAGTAGAGGCAATAAATGCTGCTGACAAACCTCCTCTGCACTTTAATAAATTAAGCAGAATCACGGCTGGAGTATAACCTCAGTAAGCATTACAAGAGTCTCACTCAGATCCCTAACCTGGAAAACACAATGCCCAAGTCACAGCTGAATATGAAATATCCCCACAGACAGCTTGCTCCAATACTGAGGGGACGTAAAGGAACCTTTATCCAGTAACTGATGGAAAGAGAGGCAGAGAACTGCAGCAGAGCTCTGGACTGAGCTCCCAAAGTCCAGTTGAAGAGTGGGAGGAGTAAGAATATGAGCAAAGAGGTTCAGCTCACCAACTCCAGCTGGACTGGGAAGGAACAAGCATAGGACCAAACTAGACCCTCTGAATGTGGTTGACAGTTGCATGACTGGGGTAGACTGAGGGGCCACTGGCAGTGGCACAGGATTTATCCCTACTGCATGTGCTGGCTTTTTGGAATCCTATTCTCTTTGGATGTATATCTTGCTCAGCCTGGATATGGTGGGAAGGGCCTTGGACCTTCCACAAAGCAATGTGCCTTGCCCTCTCGGAGGATTGGATGGGGTGGGGTGGGAGGATGTGTGGAAGGAGTGGGAGAAGGAGGAGTGGGAGGAGGGAAGGGAGTGGGGACTTGGATTGATTTTTTTAAAATCTAATAAATTAAAAAAAATTACTTGAGCCAGGACATGCTGAGGATGGTGGCTGTTATCCCAGCATTTCGAAGACTGACAGGGCAGGAGGAGCCCTAGAAGTTCAAGGTTCCACCTAGGTAAGTCCTCAGAGACAATGTATTAAAAAAGATAAAAAGGCTTCCATATTACACTTCAATTGTAAGAGGCCCCCAGACCTTAGCACAACTGACTCCATGATGGAAGTACCATTCAAGCCATAAAACTCAGCACAAAAACAGTATTACGCGCCAAAATGAAAACAGAGACCTAATGCATCGATTTCCACAGTTCTGGGAGCATCTAAAAAAATGTACTAACCTTAGTCTTTGGCTTCTGTAGTTCCACTTCTGGCTAACTGTTCTTGTTAACTGATGTATGTCAACTTAGGACATAGCTTTTGTGCTTAAAAGCTCACCTTAAGAAAGGCTTGGGGCTACACTGGGATCCCAAACACCCGGTGTTGTCACTGACCAGCTCCAGCTAATGAAGATTTTCTATTGGCTAAAAAGAGAAAAGAAAAGAAAAGAAAAGAAAAGAAAAGAAAAGAAAAGAAAAGAAAAGAAAAATCCCCACACAATTCACACAGTGACACCTCAAAACAGGACTGGGGAAACAATTTAATGTGTATACGGGCATTTGCTATGAAAGCAAGAGAAGCTGAGCTTTAATTCCTAACACCCACATAAAACCTAGCGATGGCCTTGTATGCCCATAGCCCCAAGGTGGGGGATGGGAGAAGCAGAGATAAGCAGATCTTGGGAGCCTGCTGGATAGCCAAAAATCATAAACTTCATGTTCAGTGAAAGACCCTACCTATGAATAAATGAATGGATGGATGGATGAATAGAAAGAAGCTGGAAAGTAATAGAGTAAGACACCCCAAAGTGCACACATATGCACGAGTGCACAGGCATGTTCTCACACACTTATACAAACACCATTCTACCACATAGTCTTGGTCCCTAGACAGTAATGTTATTTTAGGAGATGGGAGAATTTTAGGAGATGGGCCTGGCTGGAGGAAGTAGATCAGTGAAGGCATGCCTTTGAAGGCCCATCAAGAAGTGAGCCACTGGGCTGGAGAGATGGCTCAGTGGTTAAGAGCATTGCCTGCTCTTCCAAAGGTCCTGAGTTCAATTCCCAGCAACCACATGGTGGCTCACAACCATCTGTAATGAGGTCTGGTGCCCTCTTCTGGCCTGCAGGCATACAGACAGACAGAATATTGTATGCATAATAAATAAATAAAATATTAAAAAAAAAAAAAAAAGAAGTGAGCCACTTTACTCCTCAACATGCTCCCAAGCCTCACAGTGGCCCAGAAGGTAAACTACAGGCTCAAACCTCTAAAACTGTGAGCCAGAACAAACCTTACCTTCATCAGGCATTTGTCTTTGTATTCTCAGTGTTTGTCTAACCACTGCTTTCCAGAGATACAATTAGGAGAAAAGCCACAGCCTCCAAAGGAGAGGGAGCTATGGTTGCAGCGCAGTACTAACCATAGAAGCCATAAGCAGAAATGGAAATTCATAGCTGAGCATAGGGGCACATGCTTTGCAATCTTAGTCTCTAATGCCAGGTTTTGAGAGGCCAATGCAATCTGAGACCAGCTTAGGCAACATTGTAACAAAGGCACATTCCCCCCACATTTACTGACTACTAACTACGCAAACACTGAGACCTTAATATATCATCTATTTAGGTAGTTATCATAATTCCATCAAGTGACTATTACTATCCCTTTGCATAGATGAAACAGGGCTCTAAAAAGGTTAAATAAGTGAGCCAACCAAATAGCACCTGCCCTTTGTTCCTGTGCTACATACATACATTAGAACCTGCGCACTGTACACATTACCTCTAAAGAGCAGCCTTTTCTACTAACAATTACACGGGCTCAGCAAGAACAGGGACCAGAAAGTGCATAATATTGGCTCTCATTATACTGAATCATACCAAACAAACTGATTACATGTGTATTAAAAATTCCTTCACAAAATAATCTGCTCCCAATGGACTGTCAGCCCCTAGGTAAAGGAGTGAAACCCATAACAATGACAAGAAAGCACAGATGAAGTGAGGACTTTCACATAAGCACAGTTATTGGCTATACCACTCCACTAGGCAGGGAGTGTGCTCACAGTTCACCATCATGCCCCAGGAGCCACCAGCAGATACTTAGCACAGTGCTTGTTTTATTAACTGATCCACAAACATATTTTAAAATGTGGGCAATCTAATATTCTAACGCAGAGGGGCTGGAGACACAGTCCGACACCTCAAAGGATTCTTCTATGTCCCTCTGGTGCTCTCACGTGTGGCTCCTTATCTGACTCACAGAATCTGGGAACATTCTGAATAACACATTGTCTCCTTCATTCTCCTAAGGATTCTCCATGCACAGGAGATAAACCTGCTGAGAAAAACTCTTATTTTAGTCCTACTGACCTGCCAAAGAAAACTTCTATAGAATATACTCTATCTTCCCCAGAAAGAGGCAAAGGGTACCAAGCTTCCACTTCACCCAGAACCCAAGACCCTCACAGCTGCTTCTCCTCAACATGGACCTCTCCATCTCAGCATGGGCAAAAACAACAATATACACAGCTGCCCTTCAATGGCTGCAGTCAATCACCATAAAGGGCTCACTCCCAAGTTAGCCTGAGAATCCAGATTCCACAGCACTGTGAATACAGAGGGATTCCGACTAATAATTGCTTCTCTCGGATTTGCAGCGACATCATCAGAGCAGTTCATACTTTATCTCACACTCACCAATAAGACATAATCCCCACAGGCAGGTTAATTCTCTGGTGTATTCATCAGGATGTAAGAAATATTTGTTGGTTGGGCTATATGATGTAACTAAGTGGCAGAGCATTTGCCAAATCACACATGAAACTCTAGGTTTGACCCCTAGGACTATAAAATATATAATAAAAATGTATTGGTTGAGACAAAAATTTTTGTTGCTAAAACAAAGTCCAATCCTGTCCTTTCTGCCCAGTGCTCTCTCACACTGTTCTCTCATAAGCATCTTTTTTATTTCAACCAAAACAAAGTATTTTACTGTTCCCCAAACACATACAAAAACTACCACAGGCAGTCAGAATTCACTTACTGAAATGATTCAAGTAACAAAAATTTGCTTTTAGCCCTAATTGGTGGTAAAAATGTTTGTAATTCTTTCATTTGTAGAAAGTAGTACAACTTCCTACATTTAGGCCATATTTTAATACTACATGGTTATATATATTGAAAACATGTGTTAGTACAGATAAATTATATCCATGTTCACATGTGCAATTCTGAGGGCATGAAAAACACAAGTACAAATCCTGGGCCAGAATACTTCTGATTGCTCTGTTTTGAAAAACAAAACTTACTATAGCTAACAATGTGGCTAGGGCCATACTGCCACTCAAGAGACAAACCACCAGACATACCTCCAGTACAGCCTAAGCCAGTATGAAGACTTCTCTCAGGAGTCTGGTAGACACTCATCATTCATTTCTGGAGCTAGCAGGCAATAACTGATCATGATGTCTAAACTATTCTCTGGATGCCATCAATGTCAGAGACACACAGCACCACATCTATAAAACCAGCTTGCTCTCTTCTTTAAAGAGACATGACCTGCATGTCCCTGTCCTCTGTGCTATGGTGTTTGAAGGCTTCATGCATACACAGAGTATCATTTTACCATCCTGACTTCAGTGGCAGGAAACATACTACTTGGATTACCCTCTACTACCTACTAGGTCAATGTGAATAGGCCTTGTAAATGTTCTTCCTCTCTAATAAAGGCACACTATTTTATGTGAATTAATTACCAGAAAATTGTAAGCCAACAATATATATTCAAAATAATCAAACTAGTTATATGAACAAGTAAGCACATCCTAAACATACAACTATAATGTGTACTTGAATAAACTATTATTATAAAATTTTGTCCTTAAAAGTTTTGTTTATATTTCTTCAAAATGCAGTATTTTGTTTTATTTTTTATTTTTTGGATTTTTCGAGACAGGGTTTCTCAGTAGCTTTTGGTTCCTGTCCTGGAACTAGCTCTTGTAGACCAGGCTGGCCTTGAACTCACAGAGATCCTCCTGCCTTTGCCTCCCAGTGCTGGGATTAAAGGCATGCGCCACCACTGCCCAGCCCATGCAGTAAATGGCATCAAACTGAATTCAATAACCCTAAAAATCACTGCCTGTTGTGGCTGTGCTGTGATGTTAAGCAAGCAATGTAAAACCAGCACTGCACAGACACATGTACTTGGAGGCCTTTGCCAATGAGAAACCACACAGCTTTCAGTCCAGACTACAGGACACTATATGAAATGCTAAAGAATCAAAACCACCCAGGCTTGGGGTTACCTTTCCTGATCGCTGAGTTTGGAATACATAGCTTCCACCAACTCCGGGCTTTTCAGAAAGTGGTCTGAAATAATCAAGAACCTACAGGGAAAAGCAAGGGAAATTTGGTTACTACATACAGTAAAGCATGCATGTCCTTACCTATCTTTATAAACACATCTCACATAAAAGGAAAGCCTTTCACTTCATTGAACTTTTTTACTATAGTCTTTTAAAAATATTTGTATACATATGGTCATTTTGCCTGTATGTATGTACTTGCTGCATACATGTGGTACACCTACATGTATGCCTAAGACAGAAGCCAGAAGAGGGTGATGTATCCTCTGGAACTGGAGTTACAGACTGTGTGTGGTAAGCCACATCATGGGTGTTGTGGACTGAATCCAGGTCCTCTGTAAGAGCAACAAGCACTCTTAACCCCTGAGCCATCTCTAAAGCCCTAACTTTACTGTGATTTTCTGTTTTAGGAGGTTCACAAATTATTTTTTTTTTGGTAGTAACAAGGTGGGGGTTATCCTTGAAGTATTATTTTCTCCAATTTTCCATGTGAAATTTTATGAAAATAATTCAGTTGGTTCAAATAGAAAGCAAATCTACTTCAGCTTTTATCCAAGCTTTTCACTACGAACAGGAACATGAAATTTAGCTACAATTTCAGATCTAGACAGAAAACATAACACACGATTTTAGTCAGAAGCTGTAAGACAAGGCAGAAAAATGAACATGTCATATTGTTATTTAAAGATATGCCGACAATGCAGTGATGAATCCTGGCTTGATTTTCCGCTCTTTGAGAGTACTCAAGTTACCAAGAAAACATCCACGTTGTCAAGCACTGTGCTCATCTGGACAGAGAGAGGACTATGGAAGCCTGAGGCAAAGATTATAAGCATATTTCTTCAAAGTACCTCTGTGACATCTAAAAAGATTGAATCCCATTATTAGTTCTCAATTTTATCTAAGAGAAGGTACCAGTAAGACCTATGGAATATGATGTTTATAAATACTGTTATAGTAATAAAGGTTGACTATAAAGTAGCAAATCCACTAATACACAATTTACTCTCTCATTAACAAATGCCATTGAGTGTGATAATCAAATAACACACACCAATTACCACCACACTGCCCTCTATCTAAACATAAAACTCAGCACTGGTAGAAGCTCAGCAACTACTACCTACACAAAGCCCTGTGCCCCCACACCACTATCTCTGGAAAAAAATCTAAACAAGTATTCTATTTTTTCTACAGATCGTTAAAATTGCCAATCACTACTTAGATTTAAGTATTTCTAACAATAATGAATAACAATTTAAAATGTCAATAGTATTCATATTAATTTAGGCAGCTTATCAAATGGAGTAAGCACTTCAAGCTAGGTTCACAAATAAAACTGGAATCCCAAAGCCCATTCATACATAATTTGGTTATTTGGAAATCAAAACTTTTCTCATGAGAACATCTGTTAAAAACACAATATTCAACTAAACATGGTAGTGTGCCTATGATTCTAGAACAAGGGAGGCTTATGCAGAGAGACTGCCAAGTTCAAGGCCAGCCCAGACAACACAGCAAGATTATCCTCCCATGACACCTACTACCCAAAAAAACACAATATTGCAAGTACTGTACCAGCAACTAGAAAATAAATTTGACTTCCCCAAATACTCCCCAAAAGCAGAGAAAAAGCCACAACTGCCAGACGACCCAGCTGTTTCACTTCTGGGCATATTAGCCAGCAAATGCCATACCTTGCTATAGAGATATTTGCACATCTATGTTTATTTATTGCTGCTTTATTCAGTATAGCAAAGAATTGGAATCAACCTAATTGTTCACTGAGAAATTAATAATGAATATTAAACACATGCACACACTCACACAAATACTATTCAACTCTAAAGAAAAATGTAATTAAAAAATTATAGGAAATGGATGGATTTAGAATGTATTATATTACTCTAAGTCACACAATCTCAAAAATGGAAAAAAATGCATTTTCTCCCGGATGCAGAATCTAAACAAAAACATATGTAAACAAGTGTACATGTGGGTACAGTATAACATATAGAAAAGACAACAAGAAAGAATAAATATTGGTGGATAAAGAAGTGAATGTAGGTGATGGACACAAGTTATGAGAAGATATTTTTTTAAAAAGCTAATTGTTTTTCTAGTTCTAATTTATCATAGATGTTTGGGATTTGGTGGGGAGGGGTAAGTGGATAAAAACATATCCAAAGATGAATGTATAAAATCTGGTGTGAAGCTCCACAGACTCAGAATAGCTATTCTAAATATGAAGAAGTTCATTGAGAAGAGTACCGGGGGGCGGGGGTTGGTTTTTCAAGACAGGGTTTCTCTGGCTGTCCGGAACTCACTTTGTAGATCAGGTTGGCCTCAAACACACACACCTGCCTCTGCCTCTTGATTATTGGGATTAAAGATATGCATTGCCACCACCACCAGACTGTGTGATGGTTTTTATTTGCAAAATTTTTATAAGTTTATGAAAAAAACTTTAAGTACAGAAAAAGACAGTATCCAACTACTCAAACCAAATGCAATGCCAAAGACTTTCTCACCTACACTTTTGTGTTACTCCAGGATATCCAAACAGATCTAGAGTTATTATTATAGTCTTACATCTTTCCTTTTCTAAGACTAATGAAAAAAAAATGAGACGATAATAAAACCTCATGCTGCTGGGCGATGGTGGCACATGCCTTTAATCCCAGCACTCGGGAGGCAGAGGCAGGTGGATCTCTGTGAGTTCAAGACCAGCCTGGTCTACAGAGCTAGTTCCAGGACAGGCTCCAAAGCCACAGAGAAACCCTGTCTCGAAAAACCAAAAATAAAAAATAAAAAAATAATAATAAAAAATTAAAAAAAAACACCTCATGCTCTTTATCAGTCATCTGCACATCCAACCAAAGGAAAGAGGGCAGAAAGGGGTCTTCTCCAATTCCCAGGAACCTGTTTAGACTTAACAGTAAAGTAATTTCTGGAGGCCTCTGTGTAGTTCCAGCCAAATGCAGCCCACAAGCAGTTACCAGTTGAGGCCTACGTCCTGGGTGCTCCCGTCCACTTGGTAACCACTGAGTTTCTGAGGTACTCTCAAGGATATTTTGTATCTGCCCATTATGAGCTTGGTTCTTTATTCCAAGCTGCTAAGATACAGCCCCAGATACCTATCAGTACCTACCAAATAAAACAGAACTTTGCTACAAGTTGGCTCTAAGTAAGATGACTCTGAGTACTCATGCTGAATGACTGCAAATGTTACATGTGCATACTGAGAGGTGTTTCCCAAGTAAAACATGTAAGATTTTCATGGGATAGCAGCTGTATATGGTAATTCAAATAAAAATGACATCCAAAAAAGTAAATCATTTTAAATTTAGATAAAACTTCAACAATAATATTTAAGAGGTTCAAACTGGAAAGGTTTATACTTTACCCAATGCTCACTACCAGAAGATCACCTAGGTCCTGATCACACTGCCCATTGTTAGGAATAAATTCACAAAGAAGCTTATATTAATAGGAAAGAACTACTAAAATGTGAAAAATAAAAAATAAAATGCAGACAACAAAATTTTTGATGAGTTTTACAATGAAAACCAGGTCAATTTGTTAAGAGATAATGTAATAATTGCAAATATAAACATCACATGATGATGTAACAGCTATAAACATAGATACTACATGATTAGTAATAACTATAAACACAGACACTACATGTATACACTTCACAAGCCTGAAAACAAATACAGCAAAGAACTGAAAAGAAACTGGAGTAGTGGCACACCTGTGGCCTCAGCACCCGAGAGGGTGAGGCACAAGAATTGTTAGTTCAAGGACAGCTAAGGATAAAAGATAAAACCCTGCTCCAAAAGAAACTGGATTGCTGAAAGACTCTAACAAAACTAGCAGAGCACACTCATCTTAAATGCACACAGAACATTCTCTATGATGATGATATAGTGGGCCATAAACATAAACAACCTCAAGAATTTTAAAAAGAATGAAATTATACAAAAGGTGTTCACTCCCAGTGAAATAAAAATTAAAAATAAATAACAAGACAAAATTTAGGAAAAATACATGGAAACAAGTCTCCTAAACAACCAATGGATACAAGAAAAAAATTATAAGATAATTAAAATATAACTTGAAATAAATAAAACTGAAAGCACAATACAGCAGGATTCACAGATTACTAAACAACTCTTATAAGGAAATTGATGGTTGTAAATACTTAGACCCCATGTCAATAATCTAACTGCCTTTCTATCCTAAAAAGTAATAAAAAGACAAAATCCACACCAAGGAGCAGGACAACTACAACAAAGGTTACAACAGAAAGAGAACAAGAACTAGAAGTCAAACAGAAGGGTGAGTGAGGTGGCTCAGCACGCAAAGGCTCTTCCTAAGCAAGCCTGACAATCTGAGTTCAATTTCTGGAACCTACATAAAGGCAGAAAGAGAAACTCAATCCACAGCATTGTCCTCTGAGCTCCACAAATACACTATGCCAGCTGCCCATCCCATCACCCCCAACCCAATAATACATTTCTGTAAAAAAGAACTACAGATTCATTAAAAAAAAAAATCCTACCTGTTTTTAAAACTAAAATGATGGTCCTAATATTAATTAACATGGAAATGCAAGAGAACTAAAGTAGCCTCTTCTCCCCACCACACACACAAATCTTGATAAAGATTTAGAAGGTCTCACATTTTCAGATGTCAAAATTTATGTTTATCAAGAGCATGTACTACTGGGATTAAAAGAGAAATTAAACTGATTAAACAATTAAACAAACAAAAAAACCTGACCAGAGGTTTGTGAGCAATAAAATATCAGCATTTATATCCTCAGAGTATAGGAAAACTGGCTGGATTCATTTAGTAAAGTATTTGCAGCTCCAGTTCAACTGGGTTCAAGCCCCAGCATCCATGGAAAGGTATGAAGAAAGAAAGAAAGAAAGAAAGAAAGAAAGAAAGAAAGAAAGAAAGAAAGAAAGAAAGAAAGAAAGAAAGAAAGAGGGGGGAGGGAGGGAGGGAGGGAGGGAGGGAGGGAGGGAGGGAGGGAGGNGAGAGAGAGAGAGAGAGAGAGAGAGAGAGAGAGAGAGAGAGAGAGAGAGAGAAAGAAAGAAAGAAAGAAAGAAAGAAAGAAAGAAAGAAAGAAAGGTAAAGTGTGTGGGATGTGCACTTGTAATCCCAACACTGGGAAGACAGAAACAAGGCACACTCCTAGGGGCTTGATGGCCAGTCGGCCTCGTCTAAGTTCCCCTACATCCCAGTGGGGAACCCAAACAAGGTGACACATCCTGAAGACACCAAGCAAGGCTGACTACTGATCATACACAGAATATAGGAACACTGCATAGCCCTGAATTGCCTGTGTCCTCCTGCATAGGCCACACAGGCCAAAGCTTGAATGTAGCTAATCTGAGTCTTGCTGATACCTTGTATTGAATCTAGAATAAGAGAAGATAAGGAGCTCTTTCCTAAGACAGGATACTGTAAGAGATTCTAAAGGATATTGTAGGGTCCTTTCTGCACAGCTCTCTCACAATATAAAAGCAGTTCATGCCTCTAAGTAACACACTGTCTGAAGCTACAAGTGGCTGTTCTATCTAGACTGGAAAATCACCCAACACCTTGACCTGTGTATTTCTGATACTGAATCCCAAAAGAAAGGACAAAGGACATAGGATTGAAAAAGTACTGCAGCAGATACTTCTGCAAACTTATCTACTATCCTTGTTTGTTTCTGATCTGTGATAGAATACTAACCAAAACAGTGTGGAGAAGGAAACGGTTTATGCAGTTTACAGGTTATATCCCACCAACAAAGCAAGCCAGGGCAATAGCTGAAGGCAGGAACTGGAGCAGAGACCATGGAGGAACACTGATGGCTGGCTTGGTCAATTATCTTTCTTATACAGTTTAGGCCCACCTGCCCAAGGATAGCTCCAACGACAGACTGAGCCCTTTACTTCATCAATTAGCCATCAACAAAACATGCTGCAGATAGGCCCACAGAGGCAACTCTTCAGTTGAGAGTCCTTCTTTCCAAGTATGTCTATGTTTGTGTCAAACCTACAAAAACAAACCAGTACACCTACAGGCGCTGGTAGCACATGCCTTTAATCTCAGCACTTGGGAGACAGAGGCATGTGGATCTCTGTGAGTTTGAGGCCAGCTTAGACTACAGAGTTAATTTCAGAAGAGCCAGGCCTATGCAGAGAAACCCTGCCTTGAAAAACCAAAAAGAAAAAAGAAAAGAAAATGGAAGAAGTTGAAGTGATCCCAAAAAGAATAAGCTCCTAGAAATCTATGCTAAATAACATCAACTCAAAAAAAAAAAAGTCTTAAAAGCAACCAAAGAGAAATCAAACATTTTGTTTACAGAAATAATGGGAAAAGCAACAAGCGTCTCATTTACATAATGCCCACAAGACACATGCCAACTCGTGATCTTTAATAAACCATCTGCTAAAGGTCACAGTGGTCTTTAAACAAGCTGAGGCATTTGTACCATGTTCATTCAGACACCAAAACTGGCCTTCCCTCTCCTTACCACCTTTAGAAACTCCTGTTTGGGGCTGGAGAAATGGCTCAGAGGTTAGGAGCATTAACTGCTCTTCAAGAGGTCCTGAATTCAATTCCCCGCAACCAAATGGTTGCGTACAACCATCTATACTGACATATGATGCCCTCTTCTGGCATGCATGGAAACATACAGATAGAACACTGTGTGTGTGTGTGTGTGTGTGTGTGTGTGTGTGTGTGTGTGTGTGTGTGTGTGTATGTTTTGAAACAGGGTTTCGCAGTAGCTATGGAACCAGTCCTAGAACTTGCTCTGTAGACCAGGCTGGCCTCAAACTCACAGAGATCCACCTGCCTTTGCCTCCGAGTGCTGGGATTAAAGGCATGTTGTGAGGAGCGCGGGGCCCTTTGTTCCATCCTGCTCAGTTCAGCTAGCTTAACCCCCGAAATAACCACACAGAAATTTTATTAATTAAATTACTGCCTGGCCCATTATATCTAGCCTCTTCTTAGCCAACTCTCACATCTTGATCTAACCCATTTCTATTTATCTGTGTTCACCAAAGGTCATAGCTTACTGGGAAAGATTCTAACCAGCGTCCGTCTTGTGCAGGAGAACCATGGCGTCTGCCTGTCTGTCCTTCTTCCCAGCATTCTGTTCTGTCTTCCCCACCTATTTAAGCTCCGTCCTATCAAAAGGCCAAGGCAGTTTCTTTATTCAACCAATGAAAGCAACACAAATACAGAAGAACCTCCTACACCAAAGGCGTATGCCACCACCGCCCAGCTAATAAATACATCTAGAAAGAAAGAAAGAAAGAAAGAAAGAAAGAAAGAAAGAAAGAAAGAAAGAAAGAAAGAAAAGAATAGAATCTCCTACTCAAGGGTAAGCCCAGGCTTTACCTTTTTCACAACCTCAAAAGAACTATCATACCTCAAGTTTTTACTTAAAACTACAAAGGGGTTGAGACTGTAGCTCAGTGGGAGAGCTCATCTACATGAACTCAACTAATCTACACCACAAAAAAGTAAGTAAATGAATAAATTAATAGCTGGAATAAGCCAGATGTGAAAGTCACAATCTCAGCTCCTGAGAGGCTGAAGCAGGGGATCAAATCTTCAAGGCCAGCCTAGAAAACAAGCAGGCCCTGTCACAATATACTACCAAAACCTCTATAAGGAAAAGATCTGTTAGGGTGGCCTCAAACAAATTTCCAGCAAGATACTTACGGCCATTCTGACTCTGGATGCTTTTGGTGAGCTTCTATGACGTTAATTGCAATATTGAGGTTTTCTTCCAGGTCTTTCATTCTTTCAGGATTAAGAGATGTGAACAAAATCATTGAACAGTAGGCAACAATCTTTTTGTCTGGATGATTTAAGCAAGACCTGACAAACAAAGAAATGAGACTCTTAGTCCAATTATCAAACCAGTAAAATAAGAGTATAATATAAACAATAGTAATCCTTAGCAAATTTAATATATATTGGGATTTTTAGGATATAATAAATATGTATAGTGCTGTGAAACAAAGCATATCTTTGACTATAAAAACAGTAAATACAACAGTAAGATACAATAAAGTAGGACTGGAGAGATGATTCAGTGACTAAAAGCACCAATTGTTCTTGCAAAAGATACAAGTCTGGCTCCTAGCACCTACCCCTGGAGGCTCACAACTGCTTGTAACTCTGGCTCCAAGGGATTCAACTCTGGCTCCAAGAGACCCAACACTCTTTTGACTGAGGGCAACTTTATTTATACACTCTACCAACACACAAACATGTATGCACATATATAATTACAAATAAAATAAATCTCAAAAAAGACAATAAAAAATTGCATGTGTCTTAGGACTCAGAACTGAAAAGAAAGTAACATTTAAATATAGAAAAAAAATTAGAATGATTATTCCTTAGTCCTATTAGCTACAAGAACTTAGTGAAATCACTTATTGTCAGTTATATCATGGCTCATCCTAAAATTTGATTTTTGTCCCCACTTAAACTTCACAGCTCAGGCATGGATCGGCATGCTATTAATGGCAGTATTCAAGAGGTGGAGGCAAGTGGATCTCCTGAGAATTACAAGACCTAGCCCTGTTAACATAGCAGGTTTTAGGCCAGGTAGCCAGAGATACAAAGTGACACCTTGTCTTTAAAAAAAAAAAAAAAAAAAAAAAAAAAAAGATATGTAGACCAATGAGATTGCATAGCCAATAAGGGAGCTTGCTACCAAACAGGATAACCTGACTTCAAGCTCTAGAACCCATGCAAAAGTGAAAAGGAAAGAACCGACAACCAACTCCTCAAAGTTGTCTCAGGCTTCCACATAATTGCCATAGCACAAACACATGTATATGCACACAATTAATAGAAAATGTTAAAAAAAAAACTGTAAAATAATTCATATGAATTTATGTAGCTTGAGTTTCATTCTTTACATCTACAGTTAATTATTATTAGTGGTAAAGATAATAGATACCTATAAATATTTATTAATCGATATATATCTATGAACACACACTTCAGGCATTTGAGAAATGCACTCTGAGCTATAACTAAATAAGAGTTCATCTGATAACCATAACTTATGTACAAGCCCAGAAAACAAGCACAACCAGAGTGGGAAGCTCAGACCTTACACAGCAGCACTTGGCGTCACAGTGCAGCTGCACCCTTGACTATTGACAATCAACAGAAACTTCACCTGTCTATAGGACTTAGAACAACAGAAATAATCACACCCAGCTTAAAGCACTTCTGTAATAGCTGCTGTCCTGCTACCCACACTGCTCACACTAGAAACTTGGCCTCTATAACCACTACACGGTGTCCCTCTACTGCCTATCCACTTCTGTCACCAATTTACATTTTACTGTGATGGTCAACTAATTACGAATTAATAGAGCTAGCGTTTTAAAGTAATACATAACATGAACCAATTCAAGATCCAATATAAATAACCAGACTGGTTATAGTTCTTACAGCAGCCATCAGACTGGTCAACCACATTTATAGTAATAAATAAGCTCAGTACCCATCTCTTAACCCTGACAAAGGGAACTGAATTCTCTTCTTCTCCTAGTGACAGATTACCATATTACTCAGATCGAACAACAGAATGGCTACCCCCACTTCTCACAGTCAAAGTCATCTCTCACTGATGAGCACATGTTATCCGAACGTTGTAATTCTCCATTGCTACCAAAAATAGTATTGGGCCGTGTGTGTGCACAACAGTAAAAAATAAAGGATTAACTCACTGCCCATATTTTAATGTCTTTTGTTTATAAGGGTTTTTTTTTTCTGTATCAATTTCAGGGTCCTTAATGAAGTTACTACTTTCCTCATGATCTTTATTTCCTAAGATAAATCGGCATGTTCCCAGGGCCACCCATCTTGGCACAGAGCTCAGTGAGTATCAGATATGTGTATTATGGAACCACCACACAAACCAAGGTACAGAACACTGGCAGGGTCCAGGAGTCTCCTTTATACCCTCTCTTAGCTAACACCTACCTGCTGACAGCCACAAAGAATAAAGAATATGTACTATCCTGAATTCTATTACTACACTATGGCCTTGTTTTTCTTGCTTGTGAACTTCATACATAAAAATGAAATTATATCCATAATCTTTTCAGGAGTCAGTCAAAAACAACAACAAAAATCAAAAATCTTGACATCATACTCACATAAAGAGCTCTGGGAAAGCATGGACCCAAACAATGGCCTGGGAATCTTCATTCCGGGAGGCAATGTTGCCTAAAAACTGCAGGCCACAACGAAAAGCTAGAAATATAGAAAAGTAAAAACTGAAGATAACAGACTCAACACAAGGAATAAATACATCTTAGTAACAAATATTTCCCATGTTGTTACATAGGAGAGTAAAAAAGAGAAAGGAAGGAGGGATGGAGGGAGGGAGGTAGAGAAGAAAGAGAGAGAGGAGGGAATTAGAGAGAGGAGAAAAATTGATTGGTTATCTGAAATTCCCACTGCACAATGAAATTCTGAGCATGACATTAATATACCTCGTCAAAACAATGCTGTAAAATTAACTTCCTAAAGATTACAAACTCAAATATAATTATATGAAATATCATTTGAATAATGCTCCAATTAAAAGCTCACTACAAATTAGGTATGTCTGCACATGTATTCAAGGCACTCCAGATGCTGAAACAGGAGGATCATGCTAACAAAAGACATGCCAAGACCAGTCCAATAAAACTCTCAGAACAAAACACAGCTATATTTAAGAATGAATTTTAAAACATACCTAGAACATAAGGTTATAGAAACACTGCAAGAGTTTGCAGTATATACATACATATACAGCTAAAGTAGAAATACAAACTACTAAGTATCTCCATTCAGGGTCTTCCTTTAACCTAAACTAGGTAGAAACAAAAAGTTGACAGAGCACATCAGAATTAATGGCCAAGCATGGTGACAAATACTCCTTTTCAAAAGAAGTCCAAGGCATTTGCAATCACCATTTATAATTACCAGAGAACAAAAATACCACTGCCAGCAAGACAAAAGACCCAAAGGCTAAAAAGGAACAAATTAAACTATTACATTCCACAGCAGCAATGAAATGCTAATGTATGTAGATTATTTTAAATGTGTAAATTGTCTACACTCTTGAGAAAGTGTATTTATTTGTAAGGCTTTTTTATAATAAAGTTTACAAATTTTAAAAAGAGCTTACAAAAGCTGCTTCACCAAAGTCAATCATATATACGATATATATATATATATATATATATTTCTACAAGCAGGCAGAAAACAACCAAGCATAATGACACTGGGCTAAGGGACACAAACAGTGATATATAAGACCTTAGGCTCCAGTCTCAAACTCCAGTAAGAGAGGATGGCATGGGAACAGGACAAGAACGCCATTATAAAAGTACCAAGATATAGGGCTGGAGAGATGAGTAGTTATGAGCATTGGCTGCTCTTGCAGAGGACCCAGGGTTCTTAGCATCCACGTGGCAGCTCACAGCCAACTGTGGACCTAGTTTCAGGGGCTTGGACCTCCTCTTCTAACTTCCACAGGGTACACAGCATACATGCAGGCAAAATCATCATATACATAAACAAATCTAAAAAGAAAATGATGTTAATGTGCAAAGATCTACCATCTTGTGTCAGTAATATGCATAGTGATAAATTTCCAAAATTGGTGGAACTATATTTTCAACTGAACACTGTAAATATATGAAAAGCAGTTAAAGACCTTTGATTAACCATACAAATGCAGCATACTTCTGAAACTTAGAAATAAACTATACACAATAAGGCAAGTCAAGTTTTAACTGAATGTATAATGAGGGAAATAAGAGCTGTTTTTCAAGTCTAAATTTGTAAAATTCTTCATGAGCTCTCATTCACTAATAGAAAGTATAATTATTTCCCAAGCTCACTTACTTGTCAGCATGAATAGCAATTCTAAATAAAGCAATTTTTATTGAAAAAAAAAAAAAAAGAAAATGATGTTAAGTGCCAAGATACAAGTGGCAGTGGTGAGCACACTACCAACGAGGAAACTACAAAATAAGACAGAGGCATTAAAGCAGAACTAAGGAAGGGAAGAACTATCATAGGTCCAGAGTTATGTGGTTGAGTTTCTATCTAGAGATTAAATGTAACTGTCAGTCTAGATCCAAGTAGTCAAGTACACACACACACACACACACACACACACACACACACGTATGTGTCATTCCACATCCTGGAGGTCGTACATATTTGTAGGAAGTTTAATAAAACCATTTTAAAACTTATATGAAGACATTAAGGGCTTTTAATACCTATGTCATTGGTGAAGAGTAAAAAGAAGATCTGCGTTCAGTCTCCAGCTAGTTCAGCTAATGAAGGTACCACCACAGGGTGGAACTGAGATAGGAACAGAGACCCAATGAGTGATGGCACGGGTATCAGCAGCAAACTGTAGATAACCAATGGTCTATACAAGAATTAGAAGTAGGGTGCCTGGATGTCAGCACAGAAAACCTGACAATGCCATACTTCCTCACACAAGACAGAAAGTTCCATCCCAACCCCTCACCTGATTATGAAGTGTCAAAATCAAGAAGTTTTAAAAATTGGAGAGTCTTTGAATCCATTGGAAAAGATAGTAATAAATGTCAAAACTAAGTAACTTTTTCTCAGAAGATTCCATGGAAAACAGAAATATTGCCACAGAATAGGAAAATATATGAAATACACAACTACTTTTAGACTCACAGTATATTCAAAGAGCTCTTATATACCATTTTTTTTCTCAAGACAGGGTCTCACTATGTAGCTCTGGCTGACCTAGAACTTACTATGTAGACCAAATTGAACTTGAACTCAAAGAGATCTACCTGCCTCTGCCCTCCTGAGTGCTGGGATTAAAGGCATATGCCACGGAACTTGGTTATTCACCATTATAAAAAGAGAGATATCAGCCAAAAGAAAAACAGACCAAAAAAATGTTTTGTGAAAAAAAAAAGTGGTATGGTCTAAAACGGGTACACAGGGATGAAAAAGAACTCAATACCATGAGCAAACCAGGACGCTTACTCCACACCCACTAGACTGGCACAATTTACACAATTAGACACAGCATGTGGTGAGGGTATAGGAGCCAAAGGTTCCAGAGTCCATGAGCATTAACAATAGGACACAGTCAAAACAGACTTAAGTAGATACCCCCAGTTCTTGATTTTGCCTCCCAGCTCCAAATAAAACTTTATGTTCTATGAAAATAAAGGTGTCAGACCCTCGGACATTTCTGCTAACAGCACTGTCACCACGATTTCCTCCTCCTAGGGACCTCCTCCTATGCTCTGTTCTAGGGAGCAGTTTCTCCAGGCCCAGTTCCCACAAAGCATGGCATCAGCAGTGCTAATAGCCAGAACCCAAAATCTGAATTAGTTAACATAACAAAGAAACTGAACACCAAATTCCTGTTTATACCAACAGATAAAAATACTTAAAAAAGAAAAAATTTAAAACTCAAACGTTTCTCACAGCCTGTTCACAGAATTACATTATTTCCGGTCTACTTTCCCGAGTTTTTAAAAATTAGTCTATAATAAATGCTTATTGAGTGTTTATAATATAAAATACCTACCTTTGTTCAGGTAAGTCACAATTTTAAGAGATACTAATATGTCTACTAACACTTCCCAAGGGTGGACTTCCACCATGCTCAACAGCACTACCTCTCAGTACCTGCTCTGCAATGAGCCAAGGAGCCAGGAATACAACCACCCCAAGGGTCTCAGACTGGAGACGAGGTCAGGGAGGCCCCGCCTGAGCCCTGGGATTATCCACAATTCTGAACTCCTGATTCTCACTATTTCTTACCAGTCAATGCCATTAATTTATGACAGCAACTCTTTACATTAAATCTTACTTACTACACAACTGGGTATGGTGTATAGGCCTAAAATCCCAGCATATAAGAAGTGGAAACAGGAGAATAATGAGTTCAACATCAATGTGGGTTGAACAGCAAAAGCCCAGCTCATATGCAAATACACAAAAAAATCCTATTCAAATTACACAGTGGTTGCTGTCTCCTCTAGCACCCTTACTAGCAGAGTGGGTGGAGGGGACAAAGGGAGGGAAGAGAGACCAGAGGGAAAAGTGGCATCAAGTAGGAGGCTCAGAGAACAGTAACCTCTAAACCAGTCATGGTAAGCAGAGAGTAAGTCAGTGATTTTAAACAAGAAAATTTAATATAGGATTAAAAGAGAAGCAACACTGAGGCAGCACATGGGTCGAGCTATAGGTACGCCCCAGGAACTAAAGGAGCACAGGCAAGAGGCTGGGCTGGAAGAACCCAGGAGCCTGGCAGCTTCCTACAAAACTGTGGCCAAGGTTCAAACACTCAATTCTTAAAAGTACTCAAAGAAAATAATGCACCAAGAACTCCAAAACTAAAACTCAAGGGCTTCTCACAGCCTGCTCATAGAATTATATTTTCTTCTATCTACTTTTCTGAGTTTTTAAAAGTTCTATTATAGGGGGCTGGAGAGATGGCACAGTGGTTAAGAGCACTGGCTGCTCTTCCAAAGGTCCTGAGTTCAATTCCCGGCAACCACATGGTGGCTCACAACCATCTGTAATGAGGTCTGGTGTCCTATTCTGGCCTGCAGACATACACACAGACAGAATAAATATTTTTTAAAAAAAATTCTATTATAAATGCTTATTGTATGCTTATAATATAAAAGTATCAACCTTTTTTCCAGATAAGCAATAATTTTAAAAGATACTAATAGTTTTACTAAATATTTCAGATTGTAATACTCAAATTTAACATGCAAAAAGAGGGAAAGGGATACTCTGACCTGACAGTCAAGCAGAACAGGAGCTCCTCGAAAGAAAGAAAGAAAGAAAGAGAGAGAGAGAGAGAGAGAGAGAGAGAGAGAGAGAGAGAGAGAGAGAGAGAAAGAAAGGCAGGCAGCAAAAAAACTCTGAAAATTCAAAACACCATTCTGGGAAAGAAAAGACTTACAGATGCCTAGGCTCAAGCAAGAAGACTGCAGGCAAGTAAAATAACAGTTTACTTTACCAAACAGCTTATCAACTGATCTTTATGTAAACACTAAGAATAGTGCAAAGCCCCTAAAAAATGCCAGCATTATTTTTACAGATTAGGAAAGAATATATGCCAAAAACAACATCAATAGCTCAATTAAAATAACTCATACTTGTGTTTACATAAAATTTGATGACCATAATATATTTGTCAGACCACTGCAATTATTGCCTGAAAATAATACTCTAAATATTATTTTGACAATATAATTACAGTTCTTACCTCAGAAGCAGTAACAAAAAACTGGCACAGTTACCCTGACAACAATCTCCCTAAAATAAGGTTCTCAGAGAAAGAATTAACAGATAGTGAAATCAGAACACTTTTTTTATAATGCTATTTCATTGGGTTTGAACTGCAGCACTATGAAAATAACTTCTGAGCTTCTTATTAAATGCAAATGTCACTGTTGAATTCCAAATAAAAACCAGGGGCTTTCCTTTCCTAGAGGTGGTGAGAAATATCACAAACTTTCCTCTTCCTCCTTGTCTCTCTTCCAATTCTGCCACAGAATACTGGTCAGCTACTTAAAAAAGAAACTGAAGTAAAAAAAAACAAACAAACAAACAAACAAAAAAAACACAACTGTTTTCATTTCATGGACTAGAAGACCCAATGTTGTCAACATGGCAACTCTTCCCAAACTAATCTGCAGACTTAGCATAATCCCTCATGTCTACAATATATTATACAAGTAACTTCTACAATTCAGCAATAAAACACAACCACAATCAAGAAAAAGAAACTGTGCAAAGGATTCAGACATTTCTCCAAAACTTTATAAACGCCCAATACATACATGAAAAAATATTCATCATCATTAGTCTTTGGTAAATGCAAATAAAAACCACACATTACTTTCTACCCACAAGGATGACTTAAACCAAAAAATTGAAAGTGTCAGCAAGGATATGAAGAAATTAGAACACACACTGGTGATTAAATGTAAATGGCTCCACTGTATTGACAAACAGTTTAGTGGCTCCCCAAAACAGGAGCTGAAAAGAGGGCTCAGGAGTTAAGAATACATGCTGCTCTAGCAGAGGATTGACAAGATTCAGTTCCCAGCATCCATGTCAGACAACTTAGAATCACCTGTAATTCTAGCTCCAGGGGATCCAAAGTCCTCCTGTGACCTCTGTAGACACACACACATAATATGGACAGAGACAGGCAGACAGACAGAGACAGGAAGAAGAAAGTAGAAAGGCAGACAAAAACAGAGACAGAATGAATCCTTAACATGGTAATACTCAGGCCCAACAATTCTAATCCTAGGCACATACTCCAAAGAACTGAACACAGGCACTCAAACAAATACATGTACACATTCAAAGTGTTATTCATGATTGCCAAAAGGTGAGAACAGCCTGTGTTTATCAACTGATGAATGGAAAACAATACAGTATTATTCAATCCAAAAGAACAAAATTCAGATGCATGCTAGAATGTGACTGAACCTCAAAAATAAGAGAAATCAGACCAAGGGCCATGTAGCTCTACAATTCCATTTATATGAAATATCCAGAATAAATTAATTTACAGAGACAGAACATAAAATTGTGGACACCAGAGGCAGGGAGAAGGAAAGAGAGAGAAATTGCTTTCCTTATACCTTTGAGCATAAGAAAACATTTTTAATTTTGTACAGGTATTGGTTGCACAATATTAGACTGTTCTAAATGCCACTCAACCGTTAACTTTAAAACAGATAGTTTTATGTTAAGTCAATGACTTGGGAGACAAAACTAAATGATAAAATGATTGCCTAGCATGCCCAAGGCACTAAGTTTACCCCAGTACTACTGGGGGGAAAAATCAATTAGTTAAACTGATAGTACTGAAGCTATCTAAATTATAAACAACTCTTAATGTGTCCTTTAAAAGACAAGACTAAGGCTAGCAATATAGCTCAGTGGTAGAGGCTTTCCTACCATACTGGAGCCCAAAGTTCAATTCTCAGCACCACCAAAATTAAAAAATAAATAAATAAATAAACCCACAGGGATCTGTTCTCTAACATCAATCAATGTATTCCTTCACCACATAGCTATGCTATAAAAGCATTTTTAGAATCTTCCCCTTTCTATTTTTCGTAGGTTATCCAACTCAATGAAGAAAGGATGAAACAATCATTAATCATATTTTGCACAAAAATAAAATAAGTCTTGCACAGGAGATCTGGGATGGCACAAAAAAGAAAGAGGGGAATGCAGAATCAAGGACAGAAGCTTGATGGTGGAAAGCAAGAGAACGTACAACATGACGATAAGGATGCGGGAGGGCAGAGGAGCACATGTGATGCTGAGAACAGATGGCATAATTTCAGGAGAAATCTTCTATGAGGGTGGGTGGGGCTAGTACCCAAGGTTTAAGGGGAGGGGCCAGCTCCCCTCTAATAGCTCCGAGTCATAGCACTTGCCGCACAAATACACCACTAGAAGAAATCAGCCGACAGACAGCTGATATGTTTTCCATAGACAGCTATCACTGTTTTCCAGCAATTACAAAATGGTCTGCATCTGAACAGTGGTTGATTACAGACCTCACACTGATTTCTCCACGCAACACAATGAAGCCTGTTACTTTATCATTGTTTTTAAATCCTCCAACTCTGAGTACCAAGGCCTCATCATAAAGCAGAGCTACAAAAAAAAAAACTTTAATATTAAACATCTTTAAAATAATTAACAAATAAATTCTATGTCCTATCAACCTCTTAACATACTGCCATTCAGAAAAGTTTACAGCCGAGATGTCATCTATAAACTCTTAGACAATGTAGCTAACTTTAAGGAACCATCACTTTCTGTCACACCAGGTAACTGACTTAAGATTTAAAAGACGCATACTAAATCAAATATTAAGACCCCAAAATTGTAGTAAAATGAATCTGAAATGAAATAAATGCCTTGTATGATATAAAAACAGGAGTTAAGAAATAATTGTAAATCAAATCTATTTTAAATGGTTAAACTTCCACCTAAAGGGAAGTATTTATATTACATATGGTAAGGGTGTTGTCTATTACAACAATTACTTTAACCCATAACCTAGTATATCTAATAAGCATGGATACTTACATTAAGATTACATCAAATAATTTACATTTACTCATAATATCTCATTTCCTTAGAGAAGAAGATCATATATAAAAACTCTATTTTAAACTTAATGATGTGGTAAGATAATAATCTTCGTACAAAGGAGAAGCAATAACCCTACTAATACAGAAAATTCCATGTCTTCAAAATAGTCTAAGAGCCTTCCAGCCTTTCAAGCTAAGAAGCTGAGCACTGTTCTTAATCCCACATCAAGAGCTGTTAAGAAGAGCTACCTTCCCTTTCTGTCGCACTAGATAATGGACTGACTAGTCTCTTAGCTCCCGTTTTACATAAGGCATGTTTACATGAATGCTACCTGACACACTATTCCCAGTGGATAAATAAGAACTAGAGGTGGGACTCTCTTCTCGTAAGCAACAAAAGGAATCATAGAGGTGAGTGATACTAGACTGCAATCTGACTTAACAGACTTAACATATCCAGATCTCCTCACTGGAATGTGAGTTCCTGGGGGCAGAGGTGTCTGCTCTGGTCACTGCTGGAATCACACCCATATTAGTTACTTTTATCTTCACTGCAATAAAATACCTGAAAAAAGTAACTTATGGGAGGAAGGATTTATTTTGGCTCAGGGTTTAAGATGACACAGTCCATTGTGGAGGAGAAATAACAGTGATAATTGGAGCAGCGTGGCTAGAGTAGTGGAAATCGTAACAGGATACATGGCCTGATCAATCAGGATGAAGAGATCTCAGGGAGAACTAGAGATAGACTGTAAGCTGTAAGCCCTGCCCCATATGGGGCTATATCAGCCAGTTAGACTCCATGTCCAACCTCACAACACAGTGCCACTAGCTAAGGACCAAATGTTCAAACACAGGAGTCTGTGAAGGGCATTCATATTCAAACCAAAAGCAGTGTCTGTCACATTTCTAAGTAATATAAGGCAAGGCATCAGACACCCCAGGTTACTACTGCAAAGAACCACAAACTAGACAGCTTCAAACAATTACCTTCTACCATTCTGGAGACTACAAGTCCATGATTAAGATGCCACCAGTGCTAATTTCTCCTGACACCTCTCTTCTTGACAATAGTCTGCTATCTTCTTCCTGTGTCTTCATATAGTGTTCACCTATGTGTTCTACTATCCTTTTCTCAAGAAGACACCAAATTTCTTCACTGTACCTTAATAACCTCCTGTAAAATCTTGTCTTCAAATAAAGTCATATTCTGGCCACTGGAGGTTAGGATTTTGCTATGGTCTGAATGTTTGTGTCCTTCTAAAATTCATATGCTGATTGTCAAATCTCCAAAGTGTTGGTAGTAAGCAATGGGGACTGTGAGGGGTAACTAGATCTCACAGTTAGTGCCCCTTACAAGAGTTCCTTCTGCCGCTCTACTATGTAAGGACACAGCAAGAAGGCACCTTCATTGAGTCAGAGAGCAAGCCCCTACCACATAATAAATATGCTGAAACCCTGATCCTGAGCCTCCCAGCCTTCTAGGTTGATAAATACCTGTCTTTATTAATTAACTAAGCTAAAGTATTTTGCTGCAGCAGCACAAGCAGACTAAGAGAAGCTTCAGCGTAAGAAGTTGGGAAGAGACAAGTCAGCCTACAACAGGACAGAAAGGAAGTCATAGTAACTTTCCTCCACAGTAATTCTTTAACATTCCATGAAATACAGAACATGCTTCAGTGAATGACTAAACACTCAGAGCATTAGCTTTAAACATTTTTCAAGATAATAATCCACTAAGTATACTGCACATTACCTGTTAGCAAAGAGTCTTGTTCCACTCGAAGTTCACGAAACAGAAGAACCAAATCAACAGCAACACCAATTGTATCCAGGTTCCTGTATTAAATTTTAAGACAAAATTAAATTAAATACATGCTTTTCTCTAATACTGAATTTCAAATGCTAATTTAATGTATATGCTGAGACTATTGATCAACAGTTCCTAGAGCAGGCAGAATAACAGCTTCCAGAGATGTGCGTATCTAATTATTACCGTATCTGGTAAAGAGAACTTTTCAGACAAGACCAAATCAGTAATCTTGAGATGGAAGGATTGTCCTGAGTTAAATGGAGATCCAATATATCACTAGGCTCATTACAAAAAGAACACAAGAAAGTTGGAACTAAGAGAAAGGAGGCCATATGCCAAGAAAAATGGTAGAACTGAAAGCTGACAAGGCAAAGAAACTGATTCTGTCACAGAAGCCTCTAGAAAGAAGTACTATCTATGCCAACCCCTTATGGACTGTCAAACTCCCAATTCATAAGATAATAAATGTATTGTATTTAAGATTTTGGTAGTATGTCACTGTAACAAAAGCAAAGTGACACAGATCTCTGACAAAGCATTGGTGGGGGGCTGCTGTACAAATCCCTGAAAAGGGGAGAGACTCTGGTCAGCGGGCAAAAGCTAAAAGAACCCTAAGACACATGGACAAAAATCACAGTGCCTTAGACAGACTTCTGGTAGAAACACACACATGAAGGCACAGCTGGCAACGTTTGGAAGGAAATGAGAACATGTTATTAGAGACTACAGGAATGGGGATCTCTGCTATGTAGTGCCAAGAGTCCTTGGACAACATCCTACAGCTGTGAGGAAAGGAAAGAAAAAAGAAATGCCTCAAACTGCCAGTGTACTGTGATCTTCTGCCTACTGTATTTGAGAAAAGATACTTATTTTCTAGTGTTACGGGTCCCAGATAAAGAGGAACTTTGTCCCAAGATGGATCACTATACAGTTTCATATGTAACTTAGATAATCCAGAGGATTAGATGTGGGACTTGTAGCTAATGAGGCCTAGAAGGCATTCTGAACATAAGCTGACGCTATAATGGGTTTAGAATGTGGGAGACCTTAGGATAGCACAAAAACGTATTTTGAACATGAATAATGTGAATGTTTAAGATCAATGGGTGAACTAGGATAGCAAAAGAACCTAAACTCCTTATCAGTTTATTTGTTTTTAAGTGGCCTTATATTGGCAAGAGACACAGTAATGATGCAATCTGTGGTTGGTCTTTGTCCTGAGCACCTGGTGTGGTGTTCCTAAAACCCTTATACTTCCCTGAATGATAGGAACACCATCTGATCACATCTGAGTTTATGCTCTAAAAGCAACTCAGACACAGCTTCAGAATGGTGTCCTTGCTGCCAAAAGACCCAACTTTCAGTCTCAGAGAGGCAAGCAAGATGAAAACTGAATTCAATACCCAAAAGCAATGATTTAAATTAACCATGTCTATATAATGAAAACTCCATTAAAAAAAAATAACATTGGAGTCTGGGGCCGCCTGAAGGTTGATGAGTCCATCAAACTGCCAGAAGGATACCAGGCATACCAGGGAGGACACGGAAACATCACCCCCCCACCCTATACCTTGTCCTGTGCATATTCTTCTACCTGGATGTTCCTAGTACATACCTTTTATAATGACCAGAAACCTTTCTTGAGTTCTGTGAATTACTAAAACTGAGGGAACCCTACCGTGGAACCCTCAGCTTCAAGTCCCTGCCCTCCCCCACCTGGGAAAGTACAAAAGAAACTGGCATTCTGGCCAATGTTTCCAGAACATAACATTATGTTTTAAAATACTGGTATTGGGCTGGAGAGATGGATCAGCAGTTAAGAGCACTTGTGGCTCTTCTATAAGATCCAAGTTCAGCTCCAAAGGATCCCACTCCCCCATCTGGACTTGATGAGCACCCATAATACATATGTGGCAGATACACAGACACAAAAATAAAAAAACAAATCGTTAAAAATGTTTTAAAATTTAATTATTTAAAAAATCAAAGTATTAACTATTATTAGCAGGATTATTGCCATTTCTATCCATTTTCTATAAAGAGATGGCAGGTTTGTTTTAGCATTGACGTTAAAACAACACCACCTTTTCCTCTTTTCCTTTCATCTTAAAAATCTCATTAATCATATCAAAGCCTCAGGTATAAGACTGTCTAAGCAGCCAAGGAAATCAAATGTCTTCTGGACCAGCTCAACTTAACCCATCACAACAGTGATGGAGAGGCCTCGAGGCCCTGTCTAGATGAAAATCCAGGAAAGAAAGGTGAACATCCTGCTTGTGACTTCCAACTTCATTTCAAGTAAAATATTCCTAAAAAAATTAATAGTAGTTGATTCTATAAAAGTAAGAGGGAAAGCCAGGCACAGCAGTGCACACCTTTAATCCCAGCACTTGGAAGGCAGAAGCACGTGGATCTCTGAGTTGGACACCAGCCTGGTATAGAGCAAGTTCAAGACAGACAAACCCTGTCTCAGAGAAACCCTATCCAAAAAAAAAAAAAGAAAGAAAAGAAAAGAAAAGAAAAAGCAAGGGAAAGAAGCTGAGTTCTAGGTGTAAAAGCTGTACAACATAAAGAGCAACAGAGAGCATCCTCTGATCAGTACTTAACACTTCTCAAAAACAGACACAGCCTAAGACAGACGGAAAGGGCTCCAAGCTTGGAGTCTTAAAACAGATAATCTCAGGAACTTATGAAATATTCCTGCTCAACATAAATACAGGCTAACTGAAACATTTACAGTTAAAAGAAGGCCAAAAACTACATGTGAACTTGGGCAAGCCAAACCAAGAGATATGGAACCAATGCCAAACTCAAATCACTGTCATATGAAGTATCAAATATTTTAAGTTACAAATTACGAACAGGAAAGCTGAATAATCCCTCTTGTTAAACAAGAGAATACAAGAAATAAAGGATGTTTTCCTGTAGAGGTAAAAGTCAGTTTTGTGAAAACAACAGGTAATACTATAAAGCCAAAACGTTAGCCAACATATAAAAAATACTCAGGGGGAAGAGTGTCACTACCTGATAGAGTTCTGGTTCACAGAACACTCTATACACGCATTCCGAAGACATCTGAAGCATTCAGTGATTAGCTGAAGACTGGAAGCCAGGTGCTCCACTTGGGAAGAATCCCTGCAGGCCAGCTCAACAGCATGAGTTGATTTCTTTAAGATATCCAGGACTCTCTGGAAGATCGTTCTGGGTGCTGTTTCCCTGGAAAAAGATAGAGTTGTTATAACCGGGATTGGGGGTGCATGGGATATACTGACTGATTTCCAAAAGTCCCATCCCCAACACTGCTTTACCTACTCCAGAGGCAGGGGAATCTAGGTTTGCCTATTCCAGCTCCTTCATTATGAAACAGAAGTTATGAGCTGCAGTGCAGACTGTGTAGCCACGGCATGTGGGGCACTGCTGTTCGTCCTTACATGTGTTCTCTCGCTCCACCACTGAAATGTCTTAACCCTGTCCTCTCCATTCTATGGGCAATGTAAGAGAAGGAGTTGCTTGCCCACATCACCTGGCCAATGAATGCCAGAGCCACAATTCCAATTAAAGTTCTTTGGTTCCAGTACTTGCATTCCCCAGGACAATCCAAATCCAGTACAGATGAAGTCTCTTGCTTATGGATCTGCCACTACCCACTATGGGCCTTGCACTGGGTTATGGGAAACAATATTCTAGAAGGACTATGGAGAGGACAAGAGAACACTGTCACTCTTCTCTTTAGATCCCATGAAGCCAGCAACAACCACACCAAACTTTATACGTGAGAGGGTAGGAGAGAGGAACAGAAGTTTGTAGTGTGCCAGCTCCCATGAGGATGAGTGTCCAGCAGAAAGATGACCTACAGCTGCATTCTCATGCAGAAGTATAGCCTACTATCATTCCAGGGCTCTTAAGATGGAAAAAAAAATTTTTTTGGTGTAATCTGGTACCTAAATGAAAGTCAATTTCCTCATTTCATAAATCCCCTAAAGAAACAGTAATCTGCTTTTAAAGACAGAAGAAAAACTGGGTGACACACGCCTTTAATTCCAGAATTTGGGAGGCAGAGGCAGGTAGGTCTCTGAGTTCAACGTCAGCCTGGTTTACAGAGCAAGTTCCAAGACAGCCAGGGCTACACAGAAAAACTCTGTCTCGATACATAAACAAACAGACTGAAGAAAACCTGCCACGTTAGCAGTTAGATATGTCAGATATTTAAGAAACTCTTAGGGACAGTCCTGACCATCTCTGAGAACTCTCTTCTGTCCTCAATGTAGAATGACAGGATTAAGCCAGACCACAGAAACTCCAAACTAATAACAACCTTGTGCTGCCTGGACATCATCAAAGACATTCCATAAATGTCCCTTCCTTTCCAGGACCAGGGGACACAGCCATGGCTTCTTATGTATTATGTGGTATCTTTCAGTCTTATAGACACAGAAATTCTATGTTTTCCTATGGCTGTATCTTTGATAAATCCAGAGGCAAGTAAGTATACAGCTCGTGTTTCACAACAGTCTGAATTCCACTTTATCTGCTTTTCTCTTCTCCCCAATTTCCTCACTTATCTCTTCTAAGACATAAACAGGAGGCAAAACTCAGAGCCTCCCACAGGCTAAGCAACTGCCAATGACCTACAACTCTACCCTCTTCCCTTATCTTTTTTAAAATTTATTTAATTTTAAGGTACCTGAAACTTGTTTTAGGAAAGAGGCAGGGTACTGATTAACTAATTAGAAACTGAGAAACACACACAATCATCTGCCTGCACCCTCGTCCCTCCAGTCAGCACTAGCTCCACGGACAGGTCATAAAACTTGCACCCAGTGTTTTAGCAACTTAGTGACCAAACAAAAAAGTGAAATTCACCTGCCTCGACAACTATAACAAGCAATCATTTATGTAACACATTTTTGCTGATGATACCGGCAGGAAAATTTTAAAAATGAACATTTACTAGCACTCCCGTGATAGCATTAAGGATTAAGAATATGCTGGAGAAAATACTCAAGAGGGTGAAGCATTGGAGGATGACAAGAGTATCACAAATTTCCACGACAAAGTTAAATCTAATTACCTGTATGTGTTCTGATGCAGAGTTTCAACATTTATTATTTGGTCTTACAAATAAAAATAAAGGGCTGCTGCACCATATTTGACTGAAAATTCTAGGTTCAAACTTTAGTAGCGCAAAAATAGTAAGAAAACAGTTCTACAACTGGAATAATCTACAGTCATTTCTCTGTTCTCCTCAGGTGGCTAAGAGGTGTGACTCACACCTGTGATGATGGAGCCAGTCTTAATTCTTTCAGCTGGTCCTTCACAGATGCCACTGTCCACAAGGAACAGTCTTCCTAGAAGACCAGGCATCCCTCGACCTCTTACCACCTGCTTTACTAAAAACTGACAACTGAAGCAGCACACGTTTTGGAATAAACTAGGGTGACAGACTGAAGAAGATAGTTGTTCTCAAGAATAATGATGTTCTATAATGTATAGAACAGTTAAGTTCATTAACTAACCTACAAATATAATTCCCAGTTTTACAAATCCATTTGTCATGGATGCACTGGGTCCTTATTATACTTTAATAGCAACAAATAAAATGGAACTGAAGATCCTTCCAAAGATTCCTGAAACCCAAATGACCATAAATAGCTCCTTCACAGTAAGCTCACATGGAACAAATGTCAGATACAAAATAACTTGTGTTTGTAGAACGAAAAAAAAAATAATTCGGGAAAGTGATCATTATTATTTGCTGTCCCCAGGTTCTAGACCCATGGGTTCCTGAAAGCGCCATGCACTCCCAACGTTCTGTGCCCTTCCACCAACATACACTTGTCACACTGTCCCCACCCAGTTCTTTGCCCTCAAGAACTTGGTCTGTGGTTCTTATTCTAAGGAAACTATTCTACCACTGAGCTACACCCTCCGCCTAAACATCTCCTTTTTCAGAAATCTCTTGAAGACCATATCCCTGGTGAAACTCATCCACCACTCCCATCTGTACGCCCTGAACTCTGTACTCCTGCAAACTAGAGACAAGCTGGCTCTTGTATCCCTAGTCCACTGCACCACTAACAGATTTTCAAATTTCTACCTTAAACAACAAGGACATCTGGCACAAGGAAAGTGGTCCAGGCCTGCACCATGTTATCCAGGGAAGTCGGTACACATGGAGGCAGTACCTAAGAAACATTAACTTAATTCTTTTTCTTCCCACTATTCTAGATACAGAGACTAGAAAAGCAGTCACCTTGCAAGACGTGGCTCTAATGTAGGCAGATGTCTTGTGATTCCTATTTAGCATATTTCATTTCTCCTTCCCCATTTGTTACTACAACAGATTAATTTTAAGGAGAGTCTATAGCTCAAACCGACTGTATTTTAAACTTCACAAAGATGGAGAATATGCCTTAAATGTTTGTTTCCCTCTACAAAAGCTGAGACAAAAAATTCCTGCAGAGTCTTATGGCAAATAGCTATGGATTCAATTAATCCTACCTGAAATAATGCAAACATGAATACTACCTATTAGATGAGGACAAAGATGTTCTTCTCAACAACAGTAAAAGCATTCACCTCTCCCACTACTCTCCCTTCTCCACAGCCTTCAAAGAAAACTACTTGGCATTACAGTTCTGCACAGTCTGTGTTCACAGTCAGGACAATGTAATGCATCTAAATATGTAATGATTAACGACAATGAAATAGCTGGTAAAGATCAGTCAGTCGTCCCTACATTACAAACAGTATTAATAATAATCGCTGTCAGTTCTACTTTAACCAAACTAACAAAAATATTCACAAAGGCTTTAAGAAGCTTAGCTACTTCATTCGCAGAAGGCAGAGTGCTTATGGAGACAATTAAACTTCAGCCGTTAGACGTTCCTATTAGATAGGAATGCATACCCTGAAGACAATGTAGAAATGAAATGCTGTATTAGAGGACAAAAAATTCCTTTGAGTTACACAAAAGGTAGAATTTCATTTCCTTCAAGTTTCAACACATTTGTTGGTCTTGGCAAGTCCTGTTTGAGTAAAATTAAAGAAAACTACCTGTGATTATATGTCACAGGTTAGACAAGCCTAATATACCATATGTACACACATTTTACAGTTAATTTATCAGTGGACCTCCTACTGAAAAGGAAACTAACTGCTAGACATTGTAACTGCAACTAAGACTATTGCACTTGTTTAAGAATTATTCTAATACCTACCACTGCATTAAAAATAACTGGCTCATGTATTTAGAGTATTTTAACCACTGTTGCTAAGAAAAATAATTGAAAGCTCATAGATTTTTTTTCTAATTGCTGGTTGTTACATAAAACCATAAACTTTGCCTATTGATTTGGTCTAGCTGATCAAAAGCAGAAATTATATATATCAACTGCCACAAAGAGCCTAGAGCAAAATTCTGGACTCCACCTTTCCCAAAACCAAGCCTCTTCTTTGTGCATTCTACACTCTCCTCTCCCATCCAGGACCAGGTGGTCCCTGGCAGCCCTAACAATCCATTCTGCTGGGTCACCGAAGTTGTGTGTAAAGAGCATCTCAGCAAATGTTTCAGGCTCTGACGGCCAGAACAACTTATCAACCCTGCCCTTTATCAGAGAAAGATCCTTAGATGCCACTGAAACAAATGAACACGGCTAAGTTCAATAGAACCCTACTGTGCCAGGGCTGGAGGCAGCTTACTGGTTAAAAATGATTCCCGCTCTCGCAGAGGACGGGAGGTCTTCCCAGCACCTCATCAGGCTGCGTACAACCACCTGCAACTTCAGATCGGGGCTCCAACACCAATCTGCCTCTGAAGGCACTGGCACTCTTGGACACAGACATCCTCCCAAACATAATCCTAATTAAAAGATAAACAAATCTTTTTTTAATTTGTTTTTTATTTTTATTTTATTTATTTTATTTTTTTTATTGAGAATAGGAAAAAAGTTTCCGCCTTCTCCCAGCCTCCCATTTCCCTCCCCCTCCCCCCACTCTTCTTAGTTTTTTGTTTGTTTGTTTGTTTTTAATATTTATTTATTATGTATATAATACTCTGTCTTTTTTTTTTTTTGGTTTTTCAGATAGGGTTTCTCTGTGGCTTTGGAGCCTGTCCTGGAACTAGCTCTGTAGACCAGGCTGGTCTTGTGTGTATGTCTGCAGGCCAGAAGAGGGCACCAGACCTCATTACAGATGGCTGTGAGCCACCATGTGGT